CCTGCCACCACGCCCAGCTAATTTTTTGTATTTTTAGTAGAGGCGGGGTTTCACCGTGTTAGCCAGGATGGTCTTGATCTCCTGACCTCGTGATCCACCTGTCTCGGCCTCCCAAAGTGCTGGAATTACAGGCGTGAGCCACCGCGCCCGGCCACAGTAATTTTTTTTATTACATGCCAAGCATTGTATATTTAAGAACCATAGAGACTGCAAATGATATTGTTACCATAGAAAGGTCCTCTTTCCTCTGTTAGGCAGAGAGGATTCAGGACTAATTATTTCAATCCAGTCACGGATTGAACTGAGTTACAGGGTCTCCTTCTGTTGCCCAGGCTGGAGTGCAGTGGTACAACCACAGCTCACTGTAACCTTGAAGTCCTGGTCTCAAGTCATCCTCCTGCCTCAGCCTCTCAAGTAGTGGGGATTATAGGTGCCTGCCACCATGCCCCGGCTAATTTTTTTATTTTTTTGTAGAGACAGGGTCTCACTATGTTACCCAGGCTGGCCTTGAACTGGCCTCAAGCAATTCTCTTGCCCCAACCTCCAAAAGCACTGGGATTACAGGCATGAGCCACCTCACCCAGCCTGGGCTGCAGAGTTTGTAAGGGTCAGTCCACCCTTGATTCATGTTTGTCCTTCTAGGCGTTTGATTAGGAGCCTGAATTTGTCTCCTCAGCTGAGACAGACGGAAAGAGTCAAGTTGGTCCCTCCAAGTTTTGACTTTAGCCTCCTGCCCCCATGCAGATTCAAAAAATAGCAAGTATCTTTTTTTTTTTTTTTTCTTCAAGACAGAGTCTTGCTCTGTTGCCCAGGCTGGAGTACAGTGGCACAGTCTCGGCTCACTGCAACCTCTGCCTCCCGGGTTCAAGAGATTCTCCTGCCTCAGCCTGCCAAGTAGCTGGGACTACAGATGAGCACTATGCCCAGCTAAATTTTGTATTTTTAGTAGAGACAGGTTTTTGCCGTATTGGCCAGGCTGGTCTCAAACTCCTGACCTCAACTGATCCATCCACCTCCTCCCAAAGTGCTGGGATTACAGGTGTGAGCCACTATGTCCGGCCCCCAAAATAGCAATTATCTTGAGGGTAGACTAAATAGCAGATATCTTGTGGAAAGCCTTTCCCCCTAGCAGGACATCGTCCCCTAAGAACTATGGGAGATTTAAGCCCTGAAGAGCCTCCATCCCAGTTCCCCAGCCTCCAGCATTACCCCAGCTGAAGCAGCACTCCAGCAAATGCCCCATGGGGGAAAGCCAGCCATACATTTGGGGCTTCTCTAAGTCTCCAGTTTGTCATGCTGACCCCAAGTGACCACCGAAAGCTCTGCTAGTTTCTCTAGATGATACCTTTTCCCTGGGGAAAGTGCAGTTCTTAGCCCATGCCTAGAACTGGCGAATGTCTACAGAAAAACAGGCAGGATCAGCAGTTTATTTAGAAATAGCTCTTTTGGGCCAGGCGCGGTGGCTCACGCCTGTAATCCCAGCACTTTGGGAGGCTGAGGTGGGTGGATCACGAGGTCAGGAGGTCAAGACCAGCCTCTGGCCAAGATGGTGAAACCTTGTCTCTACTAAAAATACAAATATCAGCTGGGCATGGTGACGGGCGCCTGTAATCCCAGCTACTTGGGAGGCTGAGGCAGAGAATTGCTTGAACCCGGGAGGTGGAGGTTGCAGTGAGCCGAGATCACACCACTGCACTCCAGCCTGGGTGACAGAGCGAGATGTCAAAAAAAAAAAAAAAAAAAAAAAAGGCTCTTTAATTTTTAGTTTTATTGCTTCCACAGCTCTCCACAGACTTTGAACACATGATTTTTGCAATGATTTGTTTTTTTCCCCAGCTGCCTCAGAGGCCTTCCATGACCTACTGCATCCTCCTCAGAACTGGAAGTTTGAATCCTGAAACCTCCTACATCACTTGTTGCTCTTCTCAGTCTCTTCTGCTGAGCCATCCTTTTTCTCCTGTACTCACGAGCACAGTGCTTATACTTCTTCTCTGTCCTCACTCTCAGACCTAAGTGATCTCATTCAGTTTCATGGTTTTAAGTACGAAGTGTACGTAGATGGATCCCACATCTCTACCTGTAGCCCTCACCTCTTCTGTGACCTCCAGATTTTAAAGATTAACTGCATTCTTTGTATCTCAAATTGAATGCTTAAGAGACAAACTTAATATGGCTAAACCACATCTACTTATTCCCCCCAAATCTATTCCTGTCTTACTAAAAAGACAACACTAGCCACTCCGTTCCTTAGCCACAAATTTTGGCATCATCTTTTCCTTTCTTCCCCTCACAGTCCACATCCAATCCATTAGTAAGTCTCAGCTCCACCTCCAAATATATGCTGAATCTGACCAATTCTCACAATTCCTATTGCTAAAAACCTGGTCTCAATTGCTTTCATCTCTTACCCAGGCTACTGCTAGTAGTTTCCACTTTTCCCTTCCATCCCCCTTGCCCACTTCATCTTCATGGCGACCAGCGTGATGACTGGTTTCTAAAGGTTAAATGAAAGCACCTAACTCACCTCCCTTGCATGAAACCTTCTAGCAGCTGTTCTGTAGTAACTAGGATAAGATCCACACTGTCTTTATAAGGCTGTACATGCTCTGAACCCTGCCTACCTTTTGGATCTCATCTCCTTTCCCTTTCCTGCCTATGTAGCACACCACCCACATTGCTGGATCCCAAACCCTCTCACTCACTGTCACTGTAGCTCAATCACCCTGTGACACATCCGGATCATTCATTTTTCAGTGTGCGGCACGTGCTCAGAACACTGCTTTCTTCTCACCATTCTAATGTTAATACCAAGGCCACCTCTTAGAGTCCCTCCTCTATAATCACTACCTATTGCATCGCTCCATTTTGTTCTCTTAACTGTAATTAACAATATCTAGAGTCCTTTAAAAACACATTTTCTGGCCGGGCACGGTGGTTCACACCTGTAATCCCAGCTTTGGGAGGCCAAGGTGGGTGGATCACGAGGTCAAGAGTTCAAGACCAGCCTGGCCAACATGGTGAAACCCCGTCTGACTAAAAATACAATAATTAACCAGGCGTGGGGGTGCACGCCTGTAATCCCAGCAACTCGGGAGGCTGAGGCAGGAGCATCGCTTGAAACCAGGAGGTGGAGGTTGCAGTGAGCCGACATTGTGCCACTGCACTCCTGCCTGGGCAATAGAGTGAGATTCCATCTCAAAAAAACCCCAAACAAACAAAATATATTTTCCATCTTCCCCACCAGAATTTAAGCTTCTTGAGGGCAAGGTATAGTTCTTTTTCACTACTGTATCCCCCCAATCTTAATTAATTCTCTGCACATACTGGATGTTTAGTGTATTTGTTGGATGTCTCATCCATTAGAGCATAACCTACTTTGGGAGCAAGGAATGTGGTCTAGTTTTGGTTTTCCTCCCTCGCATCTAAGACCAGCATGCACATTGCAGAGACAATGGTAAGATTGAGGGGTCCATTCTCTTTGGTATAGTGTTAAGAGATAAGCCACTTCTTCTGACTTCCTCATCCTTATAGTTCCTCTGGAGACTCTAGACCAGCCAAACACATTGCTAAAGAAAAATGCAGGCAGTCATGCCCCCACCCTGCTAAGTCACAAATGAGAAAAGCAATCTTAGAGTTGTTATTGCTCTGTGTTTTTGGTGCACACCCCCGGGCTGAGGTAGAAAGGAACTTCTGAAAAGAGCACTAGGGTTATGGTTTGGTATTTAATCCCATTACCCTTTATACTGCTTCTAAAACAAACATAATTGTTTTAATAGTGTTTCTAATCCCCACGAGGCAAAGCTTCCAAAGAATTTCCAAACTCCAAGCAATTTAAGTATGAATAGAAATTGTGCTATGTCCACACAGCATTTTTCAAGTTGCAAGCCATGAAATCAATGTAGTGACTTCACTACTAGCACTTTGTTTGAATGAAATTATAGAAAATATTAGCAGGTACTGCAATAAGAAGAGTAAATTTTTACGACTACATACACATATATGTACTAGGTTGTGTTATAAATTTATTTCTTCCTGTGTGTCAATGTTTTCAAAAAGCTAAGTCAGTCATTGGCCTAAAGTATTAGTTTTACCTGTTTTTAGTCCTTAAAAGAAAAAAACAACTTAAATGCATACTTACAAAATAGAATACACTTATTTAAAGTTTTGACAGTGAAAAAAAATTACAGGTTGGATATTTAATCCAAGGTTTAACATGAGGATGCTCTCATAAGGCAATTTCTTTCCTTTAATAAATAACATATTAAAGTGACTATTACTCTGGAAGCAAATCATCTCCTAATTCTTCATCAGCAAAATCATCCTCATCGATCCTTTTTTTGGCTGCAGTTTTTGGTCTTTCTGTTTGAGGGCCAAGCGGGTCCACATAGGAGGCATCTAGGTTTCAAAAGAGATTGTCATGTTAGAGTTATATAAACAAACAAAACAAAACAAATGTGAAACCAATCAGGCTCATAATCAAAATGAATAACTCAGAGTGAACAGAAATGGTCTCCCAAGTCATTTTACATTTTATCTGTAAATATCAATTTCTTAAGAATTCCCAGTGACACCTTTGGCCATCTCACCAGTCGTCTTCAGACCTGCTGTGTGTGGAGGAACTGGGTGGGGAGCACTTGCCTATTTCTTTGTTACTGCTACTTTCATAAGGTTCATTTGTCCCAGGTAAAGCTCTGAGTCTGGCACTTAGTCGTTCACCTTTACTACTGGCACTATAGTTCTGGCCACTATCTGAAAACACAAAAATAAAAACGCATTTGTTTAATATGTTGAGAAAACATAAAACTACATTATGCACCTTAAAGCATACTTATTTGCCAAAAAACAAGCAGGTTGTTTCATTTGGAAGCCAGCTTCTTAGGGATGTAATTCTTGTTTTCTGAAATTTAAAAGAAATACCTTGTGGGAATCTATAATATAGATAAAACATCACTTAAGAGTAGCCTGTATCTGTATATGTATTCTTTCAAATGTGTGCTTAGTTATAGGTTTCAATTTTATGGAAGATCTTAAGAGAAAGAAAGAGATCACCCTGACTAGCATAACCTAGCAGAGAACAAAGCACCTGAAGAAAGAACAAATGGGAAGTCACAAGCTCAGATCAACCTCCTGTCGTGCCTGGAGAGGGGCCCTAAAACCACATCACATGAAAAACAGCAGAGGAGGCTAGGTAAACTTAACCTAGTGGGCGGAGAACCTAGACCACACAAGCACTTTCTTCAAACATTTGAAGCGTGTTCGTAGACAAGAGGATTAGACTTCCCCTGTATAGCAGGATAGATTTTGGCTTGATATAATGACAAACCTAAAAAAGAATTATAATTGCCCAAATAGGCAATGGCTGCCTTAAGAAAAAATGTAATATGTATCACTGAGGATTTTCAGATAAAGCTGAACACTAACATAAGTAGGAAATGTTATAGTACTTTTTAACCAGAAATTTCTGTAGTATTTTCTAGAAGAACTACTCCTCTAGCCCCACAGTTTTCCTTTCTTCCCCTTATAATTCCTAGAGTGATTATTTTTTCTATTATGTAAGCCTCACTTGTAATGAGAGTAGTCCACTGATAAACACACTGACCATTTCTTTTTTGAATATACCTTGTATTTTAGTTTACTGATAATGTCTCTGGGAATAAATCTGAACAAGATGGTCTTTAAAATCCCCACATTTTAAGATTGGCCCAAAATAGTAAGTCCTCTCTAAGGTTCTTATCCAAAACTTTACCATTTCCCCTACCACTGATGTTACCGGAAAATACAACTCTTCAGTGTATTGAATATGTCTACACACTTTAGTGTATTTTAGATTATTCTGTCCCTCTCTCTATTTTTTGTTAAAACAAAAGTTAATTTTTTCCATGCAGAAATGTATGTGGGTGTCTTTTAAACTGCCTGAGCGAGCTCAGAGCAATAAAGTTTGAAAAACATTGCTCTAGGGATATTTCTTTTACTTTGCTTTTTTTTCCTGAATAATGTATATCCTACCTGTCTCCAAGAAAGGTTTAAGATAAGCCACCAAAGATATACACAATAACCATACAGCGATCTTTTAAAAGATGAATGAGTATGTGAGAAGAAAAGTTTGGGTGAGAAATGTAAAACAAAGTTGGGAGGGAGTGGTCCAAACAGGCCTTCTTGCCTTAGGGTTGGCAGTCAAGGAAGGGCACGGGCACACACAGTTCTTTGACTCATGGGTACATAAGATATGACAACCAATGTCTCCACAAAAATGTAGGTGTTCCCATTACAGAGATAAGATGGACATGCCTCACAGAACTGCTCACTGAGGAATACTGTGGAATGTCAGAAACACACCCTCATTAGTAAATATAACAACATTATTTCACTTTTTATATAGATGTAAATTACCAATAAAACCCTGATAGCTCCCTCAGGCACCCCAAACCCTTCGGAAATCGAAATCCAAATTCCTAGCCTGAAAGATTCAAATTTCGTGGAAAAAGCAAACCTTTAAAAAGTAAAACTTGGGGCCAGGCATGGTGGTTCATGCCTGTAATCCCAGCACTTTGGGAGGCCAAGGTGGACGGATCATGAAGTCAGGAGTTCGAGACCAGCCTGATCAACATGGTAAAACCCTGTCTCTACTAAAAATACAAAAATTAGTTGGGCATGGTGGCACACACCTGTAATCCCAGCTACTCGGGAGGCTGAGGGAGAAGAATCACTTGAGCCTGGGAGGCAGAGACTGCAGTGAGCTGAGATCGTGCCACTGCACTCCAGCCTGGGCTACAGAGCGAGATTCTGTCTCAATAAATAAATAAATAAAAATAAAGTGCTTATATAAAAAATAAAAGTTGTCTAGGCAGAGTGGCATGCACCTATTATCCCAGCTGCTTGTGGGATGAGGTGGGAGGATCACTTGAGCCCAGGTGTTCAATGCTGCAATGAGCCATGACAGCACCACTGCACTCAGTCTGGGTGATACAGTGAGAACCCATCTCTAAAATAAATAAATAATAAATAAAACCTGACCTCATTTGAAAAATTTCAGTTGTCCAGTTGAAAAACTATAAATGTAATTTTTGAAAGTTTCATTATGAGGACTAGTGTGGGTAATATTGTGAATACTGTGGTTTCATCATTTTCAACTAACTTTCATGGAGTGATAATGTCAAATGATCTTTAACAAAGGTACCAAGGCTATACCCTGGGGCAAAAACAGTCTCTTTAACAAGTGGTGCTAGGAAAACCAGCTATTTCTATGCAAAATAATGACATCAGACCCTTACCTCACACCATAAGCAAAAATGTAACTCAACATGCATTCAGTAGTTAAATGTAAGATCTGAAATTATAAAACTCCTAGAAGAAAACATAGTGGAAAATTGACATGACAGTAGATTTGGCAATGATTTTTTAGGTATGGTATCAAAAGCACACACAAGAAAAGCAAACATAGGCAAATGGTACTACGTTAAACTTAACAACTCCTGTGCAGCAAAGGAAACAACCAACTGGGTGAATAGGCAACCTATAATATTTGCATACTATATATCTGATAAGGGCTTAATATCCAAAATACATAAATAATTAAAACTAAATCAATCTAAAAATTGGGATCTGAATAGACATTTCTCCAAAGAAGATATACAAATGGCCAACAGGCATATGAAAAGCATATGTTCAACATCACTATTCATCAGGGAACTGCAAACCAAAACCACAGTGATACAGCCTCACACCAATTAGGATGACTACTATTAAACACACACACAAATACCAAAAAACCCTAGAAAATAACAAGTGTTGGTAAGAATGCGGAAAAATTGTATCTCTCATGCATCCTCAAAGGAAGTGTAAAATGGTGCAGCCACTATGAAAAACAATGGAGGTTCCTCAAAAAAAAAAAAAAAAAAAAAGAAAGAAATACAGGCAGTATACGATCTAGCAAGTCCCGCTTGCGGGTATTTAGCCAAAATAAATGAGAAGAGGATTTCAGTGTCTTCACATCCATATTCACTGCAGTATTATTCACAATAGCCAAAAGATGGAAGCAACCTAACTGTCCATTGATAAATGAATGAAGTTTTAAAATGTGGCATATACATACAGTGAAATATAATCAGCCTTCAAAAACAAGGAAATCCTGTCACACACTACAACATGGTTGAACTCTGAGGACATTATGCTAAGAGAAATAAGCCAGTCACAAACAGACAAATACTGCATAATTCCACTTACATGAGGTATCCAATGTAGCCAAACTCTTAGAAAGTAGAATGGTGGTTGCCAGGAGAGGGGAAAGGGTGAAGAGGGAAGTTGTTCATTGGATACAGAATTTTAATTTTGCAAGACGAAAAATTTCTAGAGCTCTGTTGCACAACAATGTGCATGTAGCTAATACTCTGTATCGTACACTTAAAAATGGGTAAGATAGTAAGTCTTAAGTGTTTCTGACCATCATAAAAAAGGATTTAAAATTTTGCATACCTTTATATTCAACAATTCTACTTTTAAAAATGTTTATTAAGAAAATAAAAAAAATTTTGGCTGGGCATGGTGGCTCATGCCTGTAATCCCAGCACTTTGGGAGTCTGAGGGGGTGGATCACTTGAGGCCAGGAGTTTGAGACCAGCCTGACCAACATGGCGAAACCCCATCTCTACTAAAAATACAAAAATTAGCTGTGCATCGTGGCACATGCCTGTAATCCCAACTACTTGAGAGGCTGAGGCACAAGAATTTCTTGAACTTGGGAGGTGGAGGTTGCAATGAGCCAAGATCACACCACTGCACTCCAGCCTGGGCAATCGAACGAGACTCTGTCTCAAAAAAAAGAGAAAAAGAAAATCATAAAAATACTTGATGACAGAGGAAGATGTGCATGATATCATGGGAAATGATGAAAACAGGGTACAAGTACACACTTACACATATTCATCTCTGGGTATGTGATTTTGATAACTTTAGTTTTTTCTTCTTCCTATCATTATTATTTTATTTTATTCTGGAGATGGGATCTTGCTGTTACCCAGGCTGGAGTGCAGTGGCTATTTACAGGAACAATCGGTACACTGCAGCTCTTGGTCCCATGATCCTCCCACTTCAGCCTCACAAGTAGAGTGCACCACTATAAATGGCTCCTGTTAATTATTTCTGTAATTTAGTTACCAATTATTTTTGTCTGGCAGTTTTCATCTTCCACAATAAATAGTATCCATTTTGGGGGCAGTATTTTAATCCCAAAAAAATTTATCTGAATCTATTCAGTCCTAGAGTTCAGACATCTGTAGTCTCACTTTTAAAATATGTTCTTTATCTGATAATTACAATATTTGTAGTCTTTGACGATTGGACTCTATAATAGTTTCTGTTGTTGCTTACTCTTAGTGACTTATTTCCTCATGCGTGCCTACTTTTTCTTAACTGTAGGTTCTTACTCTTTGAAACTTAAAGTCAATTCCTTCAAGGAGGATTTAAGTTTATTTTTTGTAGGCATCTTGTAGCCTCACCAACTCCAGTCCACTTTCAACCAAGTTTTCAGCTTGGTGTTCTTCAGAACACACAGATACAATATGTACTCCAGCTCCAAAACTGTGTGAGTGAAGGCTTACGGTTAGGAATTATCAAAAGAGCTCTTCTTGTTTTCTACATTAGAACCAAGGTGAAAATCCATCATCTGTAGGGTGGCCTCTTTTCCTTTCTTTTTTTTTTTTTGAGACGGAGTTTCGCTCTTGTTGCCCAAGCTGGAGTGCAATGGCGTGACCTCGGCTCACTGCAACCTCTGCATCCCGAGTTCAAGCGATTCTCCTGCCTCAGCCTCTCGAGCAGCTGCGATTACAGGCATGCGCCACCACGCCCGGCTTTTTTTTTTTTTTTTTTTTTTTAGTAGAAACGGGGTTTCACCATGTTAGCCAGGCTGGTCTCAAACTCCTGACCACAGGTGATCCGCCGGCCTCGGCCTCCTGAAGTGCTGGGATTACAGGCGTGAGCCACCGCGCCCGGCCCGGGTGGCCTCTTTTCTACTCGACCTACTGAAAGTGTTGCCAGTGAGAAGTCCTAGCTTTGTGACAGGGATTCTTTGATCTGACCTCTGCTCTGGCCTTTTTGAGGCCCCAGGCCCTATCTCTTGGTCCCCATGAGTGTCTATAATCTGAGGCTCTCAATCACGAGGGATTAGCTAAGCAAATGCCAGTTCCTGCACTTCTTACTCTTTTGGATTTAAACTTTCTAGACCTTTTTGCCTCCAAAGAATTTCCTTCTTTCCTTCCAACTCGGTCATGCATTTTTAAAGGTTTTTTTCATTTTATTTTCTTTTTTCCTCCTCCTCCTTTTCTTTTCTTTAACATTCAACATACCACTTTTAGGAGAGCTATACTTGGAGTTTTCCTAAATATTTAGACTATCTTACCATCAGACATAGATGTCTGTAATAATTTTACAGTCAGTAGAAACACACAAAAATGTCATTTAAAAGGCTAAGTCTAACCCCTTTATTTTTCAGATGAGAAAACAGGCTTAGGATAGTGAAGTGAAGTGACTTGTTCAAGAGTGCACAGTTAGTGACAAGATCAGCACCAAAACCCAGCCTTCCTGCCTGGCCGGCCTGGGCCTTGCCTGTTAGACAAATAGTGCCTCTTTAGCAAAGGATCCGTGTAAAGTGTGGCACCTGGGCCTCATTCATATTCAGATTCCAAGCATATGCTATTCCCAGCTCAGCAGTTTGGCTCGCCCCACGAAATGTGGCTGTCTTAATGATGACAGTTAAGCATTTAAAGGAAACTCACAATCTCTCTTCACCACCCTGTATTTTACACCCTTCTGCTGGCCCAGAACAACCTGACCCCCTCCCTGCCTTATTAAGCAAGTCTGCAAAAACATCGTAACACATTTCTACTTGGTGGCCTTCTACGTCCTGACCTGACCAATGTCTTTACAAGGCAATGCATACGAAGACGACGACCTATTTGTAACATTTTAGAGTGATGTAGTTTTAAAATATGAAGGTTTTTTTTTGTTTTGTTTTTTTGTTTTTTGTAAGAAAGTGACTTTTAAGCCGGGTGTGGTGGCCTGAGCCTGTAATCTCAGCTACTCAGGAGGCTGAGGCAGGAGGAGAATTTGAGGCCAGGAGTTCAAGAAAGTGAGTCTTATAAAAGGCTGTATTCACAGAATAAATTAAGTAAGGTTAAGGGGCTAACTACATAAACTTTGGTGAAAATTTCTCTCCAAATAAAAATGAATTGTTTCCAAGGAAAGGCAGTCTTTACTCATTTAGAAAGAATATGGTTATGAGCATGAAAATAATTTATAGCAGTAATAAACTTAAGATAGAAAAAATACAGAGAAAATGAAAAGCAATGCCCTTCATTTTTGCTAATTTTCTAAACAGGTTATGGCAGATTTTTATCATATTTAAATTCAATGATTTTGTGAAACTGAGTACATAGTACATTTATATAAGTAGTGAAAATAAGAAAAAATGTATCAATTTCTTTATCTTTAACACCACCGATGCTA